GAGAGAGAGAGAGAGAGAGAGAGAGAGAGAGAGAGACAGAGAGAGACAGAGACAGAGAGAGACAGAGAGAGAGAAAGCTTGAACTAATTCTGAATTTCTACAATTGCCTCGAAGGCATCCAATAGACCCTCCTGCCAGCGAGCAGTCCCTGATCACTTGATACCTGAAATAAAAGTGGTTTAACCCTTCGTGATGTTTAGCCAGGCAGGAGCCGGGATCTTTCTACTCCACCTAGGTGAATTTCAAAGGGAGGATCTCGGGGATCATAGAACGGAACAGGTTTAATATTTCCCACTGCGGCCACACCCGCTCAACCTTCCCAGAGGCCTCCAGCCTGGGTGGGAAGCAGCGGCACATTCACTGGGTACATAGTCAGCGCAGGGTTATGTGATTGGGTTGGTATGGTGAGGGTGAGCTGCCATGACTGAGGCCTTGATGGAGCAGAGAGGGCGTGATTCCTAAGCTGACCTGAGAGTTATTCTCAGCCTTTTCCGTGTCCATCGCAAGGTAGTAGTGGCTAGTGCTGTTGTTGATCTTATTTATTTATTTCTGCAAGTGTTGTTGGTTGTTTTTCATTCTTTTGCCCGTTTGGGGGGCCCGCCACCCAGCTCCCAAATAAAGCACACACAAAGGCTTAATTCTTACTTATAAGTGCCTGCCTTTAGCTTGGCTTGTTTTTAGCCGGCTTTCCTTAGCTTAAATTATCCCATCTACCTTTTGCCTCTGGGCTTTTTCTTTTTCTTACTTTTGTATATCTTACTTTCACTCTTACTCAGTGGCTGGCTGTATAACTAACTGGCTCCTTCTTTTCTCACTCCCTGATCTCTCTTGATTCCTGAGCCCTCTTTTTTCTATTTATTCTCTCTGCCTGCCAGCCCCGCCCCCCCAATCCTTTCTCCTGCCTTGCTATTGGGCGTTCAGCTCTTTATTAGACCAATCAGGTGTTTTAGACAGGCACAGTCACACAGCTTCACAGAGTTAAACAAATGCAGCATAAAGGAATGCAACACATCTTTGCATCACTAAACAAGTGTTCCACAGCCTAAACAAATGTAACCCATGTTGCAATAATATTCCACAATGCTGTAGCACTGGAGATTGAGCCCGGGTCCTCACATATACAAACACCTTACCTCTGAGCTACATCCTCAGTGCAGTGATGCTGTTCAAAGTAAAGTCATGAATTCTAAAGTAGAGCTCTTTTTTTTTTGTTTTTTTGTTTTTTGTTTTTCGAGACAGGGTTTCTCTGTGTAGCTTTGTGCCTTTCCTGGGACTCGCTTGGTAGCCCAGGCTGGCCTCGAACTCACAGAGATCCGCCTGCCTCTGCCTCCCGAGTGCTGGGATGAAAGGCGTGCGCCGCCACCACCGCCCGGACTAAAGTAGAACTCTACTTAGGGGGCGGGGGGGGGGGGGAGTGAGATGGCTCAGTAGGTAAAGGAGCTTGCTGCTAAGCCTCAAGACTGGACTTTGATTTCTGGGTCCCAGATGGTGGAAGGAGAGAATCGACAATTCTACGAGTTGTTATCTGACAACATGTGCACCATGACACTCCCGTGCCCACCACACAATAAATAAATAAAGATAAATTTTAAATTATTTTTATTTTATGAGCGTCCGTGTATGGGGGTACGGGGTTATGCATCACAGAGGGTTAGAGCCTCAGAGAGGCCAGAGGGATTCAGACACTCTGGAGGTGTGTGGTGACCCACAGAGGCTACCTAGTGAGACTTGACTCAGGGTAGGAGAATCTGAGCTTGCTTTACCCAGCAGGGTTGTATAATAGGATGATTTGGCTATGGGTGTGTTTACCAGGTGTTTGGAAGGGTCTACACTTGGCTGTATGGTGCACTTTGATCTTGCAAGGAGGAGGTCTTTTGTGTCTCTCCTTGGCATATTATAAAAAGCCCTTTTGAATAAAGCTCTGAGCAGCTGGGTATTGACCAGGGCCCTCCTGAAGCTATCTTGTGTCTCTATCCTTTCTTATCATCTCTTTCTATCTTTTTACCTAATATTTCCTCATTCCTCTCTCCTCCACCCAAGAACCCTTCGAAAGGTGGGAGCGGGTTGGAGCTGGACTCCCACAGACTCCGACAGAGGTGGAGTTACAGACATCTGTGAGTTGTCTGATACGGATGCTGGGAACCAAACCTAGGTCCTCTGCAAGAGCAGTGTGCTCTCAATTGCAGAGTCATCTCTCTAACCCTATTATTATTATTATTTTTAAAGCTGAACTCTGCTATTGAGTTTTAGGAGAACTTCTGTTTCCCGATAAAAGAGGAGAAGTGGCTGGCTCTGCTTCCCCCTTCTTCCACCTGGACAGGAAATGTGATGCCTGCACGTGGGGCGGCCATGCTGCAACCGTGGGGCCGTGAAGCAGGCAGAATCGCCAAGAACCGATCCCTAAGGAGGCTTCTGATGGGAGACTAAACATTTCTGCTCACAGCGCCTTGAACTGCAGTTTTACCAACTGTTCACACTGGGTGAGCTGAAAGACATATGCAACAAGAAACATGAAATGGATACGGTTCTTATAGATGGGTGACAAGGGACAAAAGCAGGCTAGGGTCCCTGGCCAGCCATTTCTGAAAGGCTTAAGAGAGCCCTGGATTCCTTACTTGTAACACAGCTATGAATCCTAGCAGGCAGCCTGCCCTGCGTTCACACTCCTGGTCCTGTGGTACTCACTGGGCAAAGCGTCCAGGATATCCTGTTTCTAGAAAGAGAGGAGAGGGCTGGAGAGATGGCTCAGGGGTTAAGAGCACTGGCTACTCCTCCAGAGGTCCTGAGTTCAATTCCCAGCAACCACATGGTGGCTCACAACCATCTATAACGAGATCCAGTTCCCTCTTCCAGCCTGCAGGCAGAACACTGTATACATAATAAATAAATAAATCTTGAGAGAGAGCGAGAGCGAGAGCGAGAGCGAGAGCGAGAGCGAGAGCGAGAGCGAGAGCGAGAGCGAGAGCGAGAGCGAGAGAGAGAGAGAGAGAGCAGACTCTCAGGGCTGTTCCTCCCTAACTCAAGAAACCACATTCCTGCAGAGGGATGGGAACCAGGGTCCAGGTTGTTTCAGGCAGCTCCCTTACCTCCATTACATTCCCAACACATTCCACAGCTTTTTTGAGAATTACATGTACCAAGGGGAGGTGGGGAGAGACTGGGTCAGTCGAGGCTATCTGGGGATTGTCCAGCACAGACAACAGGCCCGAGACAAAGACCGTTGACAAGATACCATTGTCTGTATTCACAGGCCTCTGAACCGCAGCTGCCAGCTGCCTGCCTTGAGATTTCTTATCACGGAGGAAAATAAACACCCGCTTACCTAAGTGGCTGTAAGTCAGGTTTTCTTCTGTTCTCTGCATCCCAGTGCCATCCTCATGGACACAGGGCAAGTTTCTGGGTGTGCAGAAAGGAGGCGGCACAGGAGTGGGGTCCCCGGAAGTTTCTTGGGGGAGCACGTTGGGACACGGGGACTTCAGAGTCCCATAGGCAGAGAAGGGAGCATCTGAGGTGTGAGAAGGGGCGAGGCAGGGAGTGAGACACTTTCTGGATCGAGAACTTTAGCCAGTCCCTGCCGCTCCTCGTCTTAATTTGGAAGTAGGTTTAAAGTCACATTCTTGGGATTCCCCACCTGTGACCCACTGAGCTATTTAGAGCATGTTTTGCTGCTGTTTGTGACACTTACCCTGGCTTCATCCATGGCTCCAGGGCCCCGGTGCTGGTTGAGTCTCTCTGTCCCCACCCCCACCCCCGGCCTCTTGGCTTCTGATTTGAACTGGGCATCCTTCAGATTCCTTGGCCAGTGACCTTGCCGCACACACCGTGACTCCTCTATAACTCCGTCCTCAGGCTGCCAGTGGCGACTCAAACTAAGTTTTTCCAGCGTTCGCTGGCCACGAGGCTTTTACATTCCCATTGTCCTCTTAAGTTTCAGCCTCTCTGATTTCATTCTTTTGATAGAAATGAGTGAACTTCTGAAAAAAAAATTTTTTTTTTGCTTCAGTGAAATTTGCTTTACACCTGTGTGTAGGATACATTTCCCCACTCAAGTTATGTTTGATAACATAGACTTTAATTATATTTAATATACATTTATGTTCTACTGTGTAATGCTATATAGCACAGTATACATATGCTCAGCATGTTTCACTATACAATTTACAATTGCATACTACATTCGGTTTTCCTGTAAAATCTAACATTGGTATTGATGGTTGAAAAAGGTAAAAGAGTGGGTTATGCTACCCCCTAGTGGCAGAGTGTGGCAACACATGTCTCCACAAAACAAAGTTTTATCAACTTCATAAACACACACACACACACACACACACACACACACGCACACAGACACACACACACACACACACACACACACACACACACACACACACACACACACACGCGCGTGCGCACTGTTCACATTGATGAACATAGGATTTGGATAATTCTACTCATGTGAATATGTACATATTAAAAATGTATTTACAACACTCCACATTTATAGAGGCTGAGACATTTCTTCCTAGCTCTGTAGTTTTATTCTTTCTCAGGATGATGGGCAGTGGGTGTATTAAAAATGGACTATTTTAATGAACTTGGATAGCGAACACTTTTAATTAAAATTATTTTAGTAATAAACAGTAGGATATACTACATATGCAGTTCTTTCCATACAGCTAATGTTTCCTCCCCAGAAAACTTTCCACAGGACTGAGACGTGTCCTGTACCCAGGGTGTTCATGTGTGCTGCTGCAGGACCTGGGGACACAGCTTGACGCTGGGCTGCAGCAGCCTGAGGTGTGATTTCTAGAGAATTCCTTTCTCCCCCTTCTTTTAGTTTTTTTTTGAGACAGGATTCTACTGTGTGGCCCTGGCTGTCCTGAAACTCACTCTGTAGACCAGGCTGGCCTCAGACTCAGAGAGCTCATCCTGCCTCTCTGCCTCTTGAGTGCTGGAATTAAAGGTGTGCACCACCACACTGTAGAGAATTCTACTCAAAAGGATCTACTAGGATTCTTGACTTTAGTGAAGGAGGGAATTGGAATTTTTTTTTGTTTAAAAATTTTTAATTACATTAATCTATTTAGTGGTGTGTGTGTGTGTGTGTGTGTGTGTGTGTGTGTGTGTAGGTCAGAGGACAAGTTTTTCGAGTTGGTTCTCTTTCCACCACATGGGTTCTGGGGCCCTGCAAGAGGCTTGAATCTCTCACCAGGGGCAGCTCAGATGCTGAGCATGGTTTTATGATATATTGCACAGGGGGACATTTCTGCGGCTAGTCCTCGGGCTGCCTGAGCTGGGAGGGGCTTGGTTCTGAGTGGAGCTGAGGCCCTGGGATTTTCCACAGTGAGGTCTAAGGCGGAGTGGACTGACCTCCAGCACCCCCGAGGGTCAGTGGGGGCCGACAAATGGCACGAGATAGCCAATGGACCGTCGTAACAAAGGCTGTGGAATTGAGTGTGCATAGGCCGTCTCCTTAGGCCATCTCTGCATGCCGCCTCAAAGGGATAGAGACCGGCTGAAGGGTTTTGAGCCGGAAAGACACGTGGTGCCGGCACCACAACCGAGAGATGATCAAATCCTCAGTTGTGGGAAAATGGCCCAAAGGGAGGCTTACTGAAGGGGTGGGGGGTGGGGGCGGTGCTTACCGATTATGCTGGTGTTAGATGAAGTGAGTGTTGAAGGTTCCAGGGCTCCTAGCGTGTCTCAGACTGCCGGCAGGCAGGAGAAATGAGCCAGGAGGACCTCGGCCGAGTCACTAGCACCAGTGTTATGATATGTTGCCCCGGGGACCCCGAAGGTAACCTGCCTATGCAGGGAAATGTGCTGGCATGCTGAGCAGATGCAGCGGCGGCGGGCTGGCTGGTGACCCACGCCATGCGGGTATGGTGACAGGACGGCGGGTGGACATTTATAACCCAGACGCTGCATCCATGCAGAAATGGTGTATTATAATAGAGGAAGAGAAGATAGGAAGGAGGGAGAGGAGAGAGAGGAAGAGAGAGGAAGAGAGAGAGAGGGGTAGGAGGAAAAGTGGAAGAGAGGAGCAGGAGGGGCCTTTCCCCCAAATGAGGCTTTTTTTTTTTTTTTTTTTAAAAAAAGATTTATTTATTTACTTATTTATTTATTATGTGTATGGTGTTCTGCTTGCATGTATCCCTTCAGGCCAGAAGAGGGCGCCAGATCTCATTATAGATGGTTGTGAACCACCATGTGGTTGCTGGGAATTGAACTCAGGACCTCTGGAAGAGCAGTTAGTGCTCTTAACCTCTGAGCCATCTCTCCAGACTTTTTTTTTTTCCCCCGAGGACAGGGTTTCTCTGTGTAGTTTTTGGTGTCTGTCCTGGATCTCTCTCTGTAGACCAGGCTGGCCTCGAACTCACCAAGGAGCAAGTCAGAATACTAACATTGGTTTCCAAGGGGTGGGTTAGAATATTAACACATGGGGTCAGCATAGTCTCATTGTGAGGCTCATCAAAGGCTTTATTTTATTCTATCTTTTTGGGTTTTTGAGACAGGGTTTCTCTGTGTAACCCTGGCTGTCCTGGAACTCACTCTGTAGACCAGGTTGGCTTGGACCTCACAGAGATCCGCCTGCCTCTGCCTCCCGAGTGCTGGGATGAAAGGCATGCGCCACCACCGCCTGTCTAGCTTGTTTTATTTTAATTTATTTGTTTTTATTCCTGAAAAAGACCAAGGAGTAAATGTTTTAGACTTGTGGGTCTCAGTAGATGATACTCAGTTCTTTCAGTGTGGTCACTACATAAATGAATGTGGTCCTTTTTCGGTTGTAACCTCCAGCTCGCCTCTGCATGATCCAGAAAGCCCCATTCCCGTCTCTCTAAACCCTACCCACTAGCAAAGGGAAGGCACCGAGAAACCCAGTTCTGGGTTCTTGGACTATTCAGGCTTCTTCTCCTGAAGTTGCCAGCTGCCCAAATCCCCGCCTAAAGCGGTCAGCTTTTGACCACACTTGGGCACAAACCCAGCTTGTTGAGGACACATGATCATCCCTTGCCTACAGCGTGTATAACCTCCCTGCTTTAGTTCGGGGATGTGGCTTCTCTGGCCTTGATCTCTAGGACTGGAGAATCCACCTGGGAGTTGCTTTGCTCGAATAAACCTGTCGCTATACTTTTTCAGCCCTTTCCAATCAAACTTCACAAGCACTCAATGTTTAGGATTTTTTTAAACATGTATTGAAATATTCTTTGGATATTCCTCAGTCCTTCTGAAACAGAAACATCATTCTTGGCTTGCTGTTGGGCTCCCGGTTATCAACATCATGACCCTTTCCCTGAAACCTGCCATCATGCATCTCTCAGAGATAGGCCATTCCCAGGCCGTAGTAGCGATGAACAAGTTCAGGAACTCTGGCTTGGGTCGAGGTCTTTATTGCAAGCTTTCCAAATATAAAAGACTTAGTCCAGCTGGACAGGTCTATTACCTGGCTAAGGGACAGCCTCTCAGGAAGCCGGGGCTTCCTGTAGGAAGACAGACATATCTCAAGCCATGATAAAGAGCTGGGAGGAATAATTATTTCTTTAATGAGATAAAGTACATTTTCTTCTGGAATTCCGGCTCATAAGAGCAGTTTCTTTCAGAATCATGGTCATACAGCTTCTTAAGTTGGCCTACTTTTCTGAACTACTCAGAAGAGCATAACTTTTCCTTTTATTTCTTTTCTAAACATGGTTTCCTGACACCTTGGGCTTCCCTCTTTCTTTGAAGCTCTGATCCCTTCCATGTAGCTCTTATCTCCCATGTACTTGACTTCTAGGCTGGCTTTACTCAAACAGAATGGCATTTCCCCTTCTCTTCTCCATTTTCCCCCTCCAGGAAGCTACCTAGATGTACATCTTCCTGACCTGGCATTTCTTTAAAATTGTCCTTGAACTTCTGTTTGAGTCTGATTTTAAATTCTTTTACTGATGAAAAACCCCAAGAGGGAACTCCCGATTTCCCCAGTATCATGCAATTTCTACATCTTCTAGATAGGTCTACTGGAGGAGTGCCCCAACTGCCATACCCAATGACCCCACCTAGTACAAAACTCTAGTCACTCCCCCCAGTTCCCTAAGTGGCAGTAAAGGTCACCTCTTCAGAGAAGGGAGGGACAAGGGCAGCAGGTAGGAGCAGGACGTCGGTTTAAGGATAGAGTCTTGACTCATGGTCTCGCTCATAAACCAAAAATGTCTTTGCTGCAATCCTGGCTGGCAGCCAGAAATACAAAAAAGTGTTTGAGGGCTCTGATCCCTGTTCTGTCTCCTAAACGATTTGGGGGTTCCTTCTTCAGCAGGTGGGGCATGAGAACGGAGACAGAAACTGTTCAGGGCAGGCAGGGATGCTAAGGCAGTAGCTCCAAGAAAGACCTTGCTGGATGCTGGAAATGCCTGCAGGCTCTGGTTCCTGTTTATTATCTTCTAAATGAGAACCTCTGCCCAAGAGCTCCAAGTGAGGACAGACACCGAGAGGAGGCACCTGGACACGCCATTGGGCCAGCTGGATCAATCAGCTCCTGCCCTCCCTTACCTCACCCCAGCTCTTCTGTCTGTAGAAATGCCCCATACTAGCAGCTCCACCGGGCTCTATTTCCCGACATCCCTCCTCCTACACAGGAGCTCTGCTTCCACCTTAAATACCCACCCATGATTATACAAAAACAAAACAAAACAAAACAAAACAAAACAAAACAAAACAAAACAAAACAAAACAAAACAAAACAAAACAAAACAAAACAAAACAAAACACCCTCTCTCTCCCATCCCTTGCCCTTTCCAGCTGATAGTAAA